TTTTGAAACGAGCTTTGATGGATTTCCACCTGCCCCATGTATATCTTGCTTAAATCAGGGGATTGATTGAAATAATTTGAAATGCACTGGGAGAAAGAGAGCTTGGCTAGCATTTGAAGCATAAACACAGGGTATGAGTAGCAAGGCTGTGCCAAATCTTCTCTTCCCCTCTTACAATCTCATATATTCTCTTTGAACATACCACATTTGATACGTGCATGCACACAATATCTTCCTACTTTATCCACGCTGAATAGCATCCAATCCCCAGCCTTCATGCCCAAAGATTGACCCCACTGTTATTGAGAACAAATGCCCTATGCTGGCAGGAGTGATCTGAATGCATAAACAGCCATGCACAGGTGTAAACAGCCTTCCACTCACAGTGCTGCTGCAGTATCAGTTGAGATGCGCATCATATGCACCGTCCAAACTGTTCTGTTCATCCAAGCCTCGCTGAAGTGGTTGGGTGTGCCTTTGGCTGAGTTCAGGGAGGCAGAACTGCAGCAAGGATTTGTGGGCTTCCCCGATGACACAGTGGGAGCAGAATGCTGAACTGGGCAGAATTATTGAACTGGTTCAGCAGCATGATGCTCATGTGCCACCAGCTGCCCTGTGATCTCATTGCCCCTGAACACTATTGTATAGGTAAGAACAGCAGCATGTCTCACAAAAATATGTTATTATAACTCAGAGCAGAAACATGTAGCTTAACTGAGAATTGTCCCTGAGTGTTGATCTGCCTAAGCTCAGGTACCTTCTACCCTTAGGGAGGATATGTGGGTCCAATTACTCATCTGGCATCTGTTCTTGTTGTTAGCTGCAAAGTCGCGTCTGACCCATCGTGACCCCATGGACAACATTCCTCCAGGCCTTCCTGTCCTCCACCTCCCTCGGAGTCCACTTAAGCTCACGCCGACTGCTTCAGTGACTCCATCTAGCCACCTCATCCTCTGCCGTCCCCTTCTTCTTTTGCCATCAGCTGTTCCTAGCATTAGACTCTTCTCCAGGGAGTCTTTCCTTCTCATTTGGTGGCCAAAGTATTTGAGTTTCATCTTCAGTATCTGACCTTCTAAAGAACAGTCAGGGTTGATCTCCTCTAAGACTGACCGGTTTGATCGCCTTGAGGTCCAAGGGACTCGCAGGAGTCTCCTCCAGCCCCACCATTCAAAGGCCTTAATTCTTCAACGCTCAGCCTTCCTTATGGTCCAGCTTTCACAGCCATACATTGCAACTTGGAAAACCAAAGCCTTGACTATACACACTTTTGTCAGCAGGGTGATGTCTCTGATTTCTAGTATGCTGTCTAAAATATGCTGTTGTCAATATGAAACTATTTCTTCCAGTCTACCCAAATGGCCTGCTCAAACTAGGTCAGCCTTCTCATCCAGGACCCCCCAAGACAATGTTGGAGTACATCTCCCATCATTCCCTGCCAGCAGGTGCATTTTGATTAGGGATGATAGGATATGTAATCAATACCTATGAAAGGGCCCCAGTAAGGGGAGGACTTGCCTGTTACATGGGCAGCACACGTCAATCCCACTAGCTTGAGCAAAAGGAGTATGGCAAATTTCCATGAATTGGAATCCATGATTAAGCTAGGATGTTGTCTTCAGCCTCAGGGTCACTGCACTATGCTATTTATGAATCCCTTTCAGGGGGCAATGGTCACATATCCCATGCTTTCATATGGTGGTACTCTTCTAGGATCCAGAAGAGAGGGAATTTGGAGAGTCAGTCCTGAACATAGCCGGGCGCTGTAGAGAACACAACTGGGTTGAGACACAGAAAGCTCTAGTCCTACCTACATTCTCTTCCTGCTTCCATCTTAGGAGCTGCTGGGAGGCTAGCCCTTGGGCAGCTCAAGTGTTCCCATGTGAGCATTAATTTCAAGGCAAGGTAGGGCTGAGGAAGGGTGGTCACTGATAGACTGGTAGGAAGGGTTGTCTCATGGGCAAACAGTGACCAATCCTATTGCAAATCTGGCCCATGCACCTGCTGAAGTCGTAGCTCAGTTATTCATTTCTTTCTCTAGAGAAATTGTTGTGTCGTGAGCCATTGAGGATAATTGTGGAAAACTGCTGAATGGTGATGATAATAGCTTTGTTATTATTAGTATGCCATTGAAGCCGATACTCATCAGCAGGCTTTTGCTGATATTTTCAGCTGAAGGAAGACATCAGATGTCTCTCACATCACCATCTAATATCAACGGAAGGATAACAGCATAAATTTCAACAGAGGGTAAAGTGGCAGGAAAAGGATATGTGGAAAAGCAGTTCCATGTACTAAGCCCTCATTTCTGATGCACAGGTTAATGGCTTTTGTGGACATCAGCTCTACATTTAGAAATGAATGTCTAAAACCCTAGACTCGCATTTCTTGGAGTAACTCTTATTGGACATAGTGGGGCTTGCCTCTGAATAAACATGAAGAGGATCCTCTTGTAATTCTGTCACATCACAACAGAAGAAGCCTTGGCAACTGATTTGGCCTCTGTTTTCAATTAGCATATATATATATTCCGTTCTGTATTTAAATGCAGGACCTATAGGAGTCTGCAAACTGTGTGATGCAGTATGCTTCAGGGTACATCAACCAGCAACTTAAAAGTCTGCTGCATTCGCTCTCTCACCTCTGTCATGGATTGCACTTGGATGAAACTGGAAAATACAGAGAGAGACCAGCTTGACTCTTCTCCATGTGTCAAGGGGCAACTTGAGTCTTCTCCATGTGAACAGGGAAGTCAGTCCCATGGATTCAGTGGGGCCTGTTTGCAAGTGTGCACAGCTCTGCCCCATTAAATTCTCATGCAATATCATTTGAGGCATCTTTTGATTAGGATGGCCCTCAGAAACTCGGAACCTGTCAAGAATTCTACGACCTTCTTTTTGCTTTTTAGCAGTCTGTAAGCACCCATTTGCAAATACCGGGCTTCAGGTAGTGGACAAACCACCTGTGTGTACAGCATCTCACAGTATCCTGAGAAAACTACTCCAGCCAGCCTGTGATTGGCTAATGAGGCTACTTTAGAGCTGCCAGGGGAGCTGGAAACATTGTTCTTTGAGAAGAGATTGAGAGAACATGTTCAGCCTTGAGAAGAGAAGACTGAGGGGGGAAACATGATATCCCTCTATAAGTACCTCAAAGGCTGTCACAAAGAGGAAGGTCAAGCTCTCTTCTTGTTGATACCAGAGTGCAGGACATGGAATAATTAAGTCAAGCAGTGATAACCCAGATTCAGATCAGATAACAGACAAAGCTTCCTCACTGTCAGAGCAATACGACAGCAGAACCAGCTGTCTAGAGTGGTGGTGGGCTCTCCCACACTAGAGACAGTCAAAAAGAAACTGGACAGCCATCTGAGTGGGGAGGTGTAACGTGGTGTCCCGCAACAGCAGGGGGGTTGGACACAATGGCCTTAATGGCCTTTCCAACGCTACTATTCTATGATTGAGCATATAATCAGAGGGGTGGCAGCTGCCCATCCTCTTGCCTTTAATGGAGATGGAAGATTCCACGTATCTCCTTTGGGCCCTGACCTTTGGAGCACTCATGCTTATGTACTTATAGGCATGTTCAGGGTGCAGTCCTAATAAGTCGATCATAATTCCGTGATCTCAGAGGATGATGCTCATCCTATGCAGGTTGAGAAGAGCAGTGGACAGGATCTTTGCCTCCTGTTCCTTACACCTGAATGTTCACCTTTTTAGAAAAATCAGCATAATGAAAGCAGAGGAGGTGAAAGATGGGGAGGCCCCAAGATAGCACAAAGAGACAGTTAGCATGGGGTTTTTCCAGTGATCTCTGCAAGGGGGACAGCAACAGATCACGGTTTACCCTCTTTAAGGTCAGTGCTCCATCCCCAGCTTCAGATCTGGGAATTCAAAGTACTCCATGGCATCTCAGTCGCTGTCTAGGGACCACAGGATTCCTCTCCCAGCAAGCTTTTTTGTTTTTACCTTGAAGTATTTTTTCCAAATGTATTCTCTTTCTGGTATGTCTTTTATTCCCCTGTAAACTTAGAGCTGGCTGGCTGCAGGCTGCATTTTAAATTGCCTTGGTACTTGTCTCAGTACTGGAATCCTCCTCTCAGTTAATGCTACTGTTTCTGGTTACAGGCCTGAGTCTTGGAAACAAAGGATGCTAGTTGGGCCCCTGTTCCATAAGCCTTAGGGACACCTTCCATAAGCCTTACAGGTATAGGAGTCACCTGCTGAGGCTGAGTTGGACGTAAGGGGTACTAGCAGCTGCCGCACTGGGCTGATGGTCAGCCAAGGCAATGTTCTGTCCTTGCCAATGCTGCTAAGGATTGGGCAGCCCCTTCCTCTCCCTTCATACCACCTCTATAATTTAGATGTTCATCCAAGCATTGTTTGTGAATGAGAAGAGGTTTGGTTGCAGCCTTCACCAACCTGGCACCCACTAGAAGGTGCAGGCTACAACCTCCATCAGCCCCAGATAGCATGGAAAATGGACATTGTGATCCAAAACATCCAGAGGTTGGGGGATGCTTTCTCTGTTGAGTACAGAGTAGGAAATTAGCTTTGCTCTGCCCATCCCTGGCAGATGATTCTTCATTACCTGTCAGATCATCTCCCACCGGTTGATCTAACTAGATTCTAACAGAGTCCTTTGAACCGTCTGTTCTTAGTCCCCCCCCCCCCCCCCCCTCCCCCTCTCCCTCTCTGTCCCCCCCCCCCCACTTCTCCTTCCCTCCACAGGAAAAAGCTGTAATAATCATAGGCTCATAAAAGGATCATGTGTCTGTGGCCAGAACGCTTTGGCTTGTGATGGCAAGAGAGAAGACTGAGAAGCCGTGCTGGGGCGGAGGGGGAGGGAGGCTGCCTGGATGTGTGTTTTAGTGGATGATTAAATCTGGGGAGGCCGATCCCCTTTCATGCTGTGGATGTTGTGAGCTGCAGGCACGCCTCTCCCTGCCAGCCTGCACTAGGATGATAATCAGTCACTATGAAAACTCATTAGCCTCCACAGCAATGAGCCCTCCACTGCTCAAGCTTGGTGCTGTTCTTAGTACCATGGCCATGATCTCTAACTGGATGTCCCAAACGCTCCCATCACTGGTAGGACTAAACACCACCAGGCTGACCACTTCCAACACTCTAGTAAGTAACTCCAGTCTCTGGAAAGTCTTCCTCCGTGGCTTGAGGGTTGCGGGGTATGGAGGGGAGCGTTCTGCTACTGTTTTTCTGGGTGAGATCAGGAAGTCTATCATTTTTAAGTTTACCTCCTTGTAAATCTGTTTAAGAGCTGTGATGGGGGATTAATACTAAATTAATGCATGCTACAAACTAGACAGTACACTTGCAGAAAGATTCTTTGCAGACTAGCTGCAGGAGAAAAAAATGAGTGGGCTTTAAAATACTTATGTGCAGTAGTGTTAAAATATTTAAAATGAGAAGCATTTCTTTTGCTAGTTTTTTTTTTTCATTATGCAAGATGATTATTCCCAAAAGTCTTGGTATGAATATTTTTTTCAAGGGATATTTTTCTGTTGTTACTCCCTTTCCTTTCCTTTCCTTTCCTTTCCTTTCCTTTCCTTTCCTTTCCTTTCCTTATAAAATATTTTTCCTCCCATGTCTGTTTTCAATGTGGCATATAAATATTACAGAATAACATTTAAAAGTAAGAGTTTTTTCAGGATGAAAAAAAAGATCTTACACAACAAACTTGTAGGCAATCTGTTCAAGAGAGAAAAATGCCATGAATTATTACAAGATTGCTAGCTAAAAAATGTACGGCTACTTTTCCTATTGCATTTAATCTTTCACTATGTTTCTTTGCTGTGTATATATGATGCATGCCAGTAACCCTTCTTCAATGTGACAGCCACCAGAATTGCTGTTGTCTTACTCTAAGGTATTAATAATGGCTTAATAGCTTGGTGGAAGAACAGGTGAATTCTGGGTCCTTTGCTCTATCATTTGATTAAAGAGAGCTAATGAAAGTTTGAAGAGCAAGCACTTAACGAACCCTCTGTGAGGATTCCTTCCTCCATACCTCTGCTATGTTCAACGTAATTGCAATCAAATATCAGGCAAGAGCAGTTCAGTGCTAAATTTCACTTGAAAGCCAAACATGTGATTTAGTGGACTGATCAATGCTGAATTTGCTGATAGCCTGTGGATGGGTGAAGATCATTACAGTAGTTAGCTTTTAGTGCTCTTCATTTGGACTGCTCGCTTTGCTGTTTATAAGGACCTTCTAATGTAGTTGGTAATGAAGGGAGATGTGGGTTGAGGGGGAGCTGGGCCAGTCCTGAATATTTTCCAGAAATACAACTCAATTTAACCCAATTTTGATAGCTACTAAAGCACAGGATCTATCTGAACTGTACTTTAGTTCAAATGAATCCTGTGCATCCATAGCTTGACTCTGTGCCCATGAAGGCTCTGCTCTTCATGTAGAATGAACTTGTGTCGCTCTTTTGACTTTGACATTCAGGATCAGGGCTGTATATTGTGCTTCTTTCTCTCTCCGTGTACAGCACTGCAGCCTTAACTTGTGTTAAGATGGGAAAACTAACTGGCTTTAGTTTAGATGTAGTGGAAAAGGCTGAGGGAATGAGGGAAGGGGCAGGAGTAGCATGGCTTGTAAAATCCATGGGATGGATGGATGGATGGATAAATGAATGATCTGAGATACAATGTGATTGATCAATCCATACATTCAGCTGATTTACCTCGATTCCCCAGTGAATGGTGTTGGGAGTGCTGATAACCCAGAAGGAGAATCATTATTACTATTACAGGTTACATTTCTAACCTGCCTTTCCTTCTCTTACGAGGCACCCAAAGTGGCTTGTCTGTTTTATCCTCACAACAACAACCCTGTGAGGTAGGTTGGGCTGAGAGTCTGCATCAGGCTCAAAGTCATCCAGCAAGTTTCATGACTGAGTGGAGACTAGAAACCCTTTAACCACCACACCCAACTGGCTGTAACGCACACCGGATTCCAGGGGTAAGCGAAGGTGGAGGGAAAAGACAGTAGCCTGACCTTCATGACTTGCGAGAAGCCACATCAAAGACATCTTCTTCCAAGGGCAGCCTTCAGATGGAGGCATACCTGGGTTTCAGGAATAAATATATCTAAAGTTAGGAAAAATGTAACAAATTAACCCCAATAAGGCTTCCCAAAATGCACTCTTTTTTCATGTTTCCCCCTTTTGGCAGTTTAATCTTGAGCCCAAATTAGGCCTTGCAGTAGAGCTGAAAATCTCCCTTTCCCCTCACCGCAAAATCAGACCCTGAAAGGGCTCCCCAATAGATCAAAGGCAGCATGATAAATTTGGGGATGGAAGTCAGGGTGACTATGGTCCAGTCAGGGCAGAAAATATTTCAAGATAGTTTGAGAGAATGCCATTCTCCAAGTAGCAAAAAGATGTTGACCCATCTTTTTACATATTCTCTCTCTCTCTCTCTCTCTCTCTCTCTCTCTCTCTCTCTCTCTCTCTTCCATCTTTCCTGTTTGACTAGCTATCTGTAAGAGTTCTTGCATCCATTAATCAGAAGGTATGAACTATCAGATTTATGATGTTTCATATACAGTGAGGAATGAGTGTGTTTTAATGTGTTCATATACCTGTATGCACACACACATATCATACCTACATATTTTGTCCACATACCTATTCTGGATTGAAGCGTATCTATGACATACATCTCTCTAGTTAATGTAGAACCAGAAAACTGTTCCTGTTGCTGTCTGAAACTGCCTGTCACAAGAAATAACCTGTACTCGTGTGTAGCATTTCTACAGTGCATTTGAAAGCACTTCACCTATATTATCTCTGTAGTCCCTGTAAGAGCCACTTAGGATAGGCCAGTATCATAATTTCTCCACCTTGCAGAAGAAAGTTAAGACTAAGATTTTTCTAAATATACTTCGGACCACTTATAGACCTGTGCTTCATATACAGAAGGAACTTTAAAAGATATTTACAGATTCATCTTGATTGACCTGAAACCAACATATGTGAGGAAAAGCAGAGGTTAATTTTGTTGTTCAGGTTTGTACCTTTCGGGTGCTTTGCTTGCACGTACAGCATTAAAAAGACTACGAAAAAGCCTACTTTCTTTTATTTGCCCGGCTGGACCAAATAAATATTATCCTTTGTTCCCATTCCATTTACTGATTCTATGGAAGATGAAGAAATTGATACCCTAGCCAAAAAAGGGGGGGAGAGGGGAAGGGAGGGGCAGGAGAGAGATGTACATTTAGACTGCTGAAATGGATGGGGCTGTCTTGTTCTTTTGTGGCCCCATTCAGTTCTCTGGGACCTGTGCAGGAAATGCCCCCATTAGCATAGAAATTTGAGCAACAGGGAATCAAATGAGAGCAAATGTTTGGTCGGGGGCACTGCAACGGATCCCTCAGTTGTCCTGCACAACTGAAAGGAAGCTAATGCAGACATCTTGTGTCTCTCTCCCCTCCTCCCATTCTTCACTTTGCCATCTTGTTTCATTTACCTCTCCCGTCCTCCTTTTTCTCTGCTGTTTTTCTCCTCATGCTTCATTTATGGATTCCTAGGACAGGATCCTGCCTCTGTAAAGCACCAAGACATGGCCTAGATAGAAACTTTCAAATAAGGAAAACAAGAGCTTTTGCATGCTCTTCTTTCAAATCCCTTCTCAAAATCCACACTTTCCATGAGGTCCTCTTCTCAGTTCTGAGTCTGACAAAGCTTGCCCTGCCACATTCAGACAAATGCTTTGAGGACTTGTTAGATTCAGCTACAAAGAGAAGCAAGATTGAAGAGCCCCAAAATTCTTCTCCAGCTTGGATCAAAATCTAGGTCCAAGAAGTATGCCCGTCTTTCTTCCCATTCTTTCCACCACCTTTTCTGGGTCACTGCAAGATAAACCTTATCAGCTTCTTGCTTCCTAAAACCCTACCACACCCCATGGAAGATGCAGTGGCCAGCATGGGGAGAATGGAAAGAAGAGAGAGTTCCTTCTTCCCTCTCCAGTACCCTGGGATCTCCATCCTACACAATGCAGATGATGATGATGCCACTGACAACTGCTTCTTAAGATAGGAGTGGACAATTCAGGATTTTCCAGATAATTTGGCCGACAGCTCCCTTGAGCCTTCACCATCAGCTACACTGTCTAGAGCTAATAGGTGCTGCAGGCCAAAACATCTGGCAGGCCACATCTGGAAGAGATTTTTGTGAGATCCAGGAGGACTGGCTGACTGAGAAGGAAGGGTTGTCTTATTTTCTGAATGCCAGTTTGAGGCAAATAACATTTCCAGGTTAATCTGATAGGAACCAAGGACAGGGGAAAGTTTTTCCCACTCTAACCTAAACCAAGCCGAGGCACTGCTGCATTTCTTCCCTTTCATCTCTTGCTCCCTTTGTCTCCCCTTCCTCTTCTTCTGTGGCCTTCCCCACAGTCAATTTTAACTAGCATTCTCCATGGGGAACGGGAGCTGTCTGCTTCCTGGCTCTCTGTCCCTGTCTGTCTCACACATTAAGTGCTGGGATTTACATGTCTTTTTCTGTCTCAAGCATCCTTTTCCATTTGCAGAAAGAGTCATATTCCCCCAGCTACCTTAATTCCCTGCACTCACTGCCTGCACTGGCAGGGAGCCTGCATTTGTAAGGGTCAACTTGGCAGATTTTGTTTGGATTTGATACTTTCTGAGTCAAGGGAAGGGGGTTCTTTTGCCAGAGTTTGGGATTAAATGTCAAATGCAGATGGGCAGAGGCACTGGGATGGTACAGCTGTATATACGCGCCTTTTTATCCAGCTTTACCTGCTCCGTGCCATTTATCTCATGAACCAAAGCTCTTCTAAAGTCATACAAAGGCTGTGCATAACATACGTAAAATCAGACAAACAAACCAGGAAGAGCTAAAACACTGTGTCCTAAATATAGCCTACTATCATCAATCATTTAAGCCTGCGTAGCCAATCACAGTATCCTTCCACTGTGCCGAAGGAATTTTCTTTGTGCTAAATATGCATCAGATGAATTGGGAAGTTCTCTGAAAAGATCATTTGTGGTTGCTTTTAGAATAGCACAAGTTCGGCATTCAAGATGCCGAAGACTCGTTGAGCAGAGAGGTATCAGCATCCTCATCCCTTTTCCCACCATCCTTCTTAGTCTTCCATTTTCTTCAAATGGAGGCCATGAGTCCTCCAGGAAGGGACCTTTCCTGATCTGCTTATGTTACCTTGCAAAATACCACCTAAATTGTTGGCCTTAAAAAAATGGAACCATAATTGTGGGATTTGGAGTGAACAAGCATCACTCTGACATGTACTTGGATCTGTCACCTGCCTTCTATCTAAGCCTCGGGTTAGGAAATGCCAATTCCTGATCCCATTCACCCTCAGAGCCATGGAAACCAGGCTTCTGTCCAGCTGCAAATTGGGAACAGAAGCCTAGAAATAGCTAATGCTGATAAACAATGAGCCTAAAGGGAAGCAAGGATTTAACTCATCGTTTGTAATTGCACTGGCCCATTGCTTAGCAATCGATATAACTTAGATCTGCGAGAATGGTCCCTGCCACCATTCCACAGCTATCCATTCAGTAGCAGAATTTTCTTGGATCTGCACAAGGATTATTCCGGGCTCTCTGTTCATCCTGCAGTACCCACCAATGCACCCATCTGCCTCCCCGTCCCATGCCCTGGCCTTGAAGTCCTGCAGCAAGTTTGTAATCCACTATGAAGCCATTATTATAAAATGTGGACTACCTTTAAGTGCTTTGGCAGAAAGGAGGTATATAAAAGTCATAAATAAATCAACATCGCACATCTGAATCACTGCACATCGTTCAGGAAATGCTTCAGACAGGAATGAGACGCAGGTGTAACAAGTGTATATTTTAAGGCTGGGTCATGGGGCTAAAACAGGCATTTTAAAAATGTAGCTAGCTATGTCGCTCAGCTACCCTGCACCATGTTTTTACTCTAGAGTAAGTGCAGAGAGCCAATTCAGCTTGCTGCCCTAGTGTGTGAGGTGGGGTGGGGCTTCCCCCCTTGCCCCTACTACGGACTCAATCCAGCATGCCTGCAGTTTCTAACACAGAATAGTGAGAGTCCAAGTGTGTGTAGGGAGGGGAGATTTCTAATCCAGATTAGACACATGCTGTGTGCAGAGGGGAGAGCATCTTCTATGCTAGGATTCCAGTCCAGATCCCAGAACCTGTACCTGCCCTCGAATAAAATGAAAAGGTACTTTAAAATAATGCCTGCTCTGCCTCACTTGATTTACCATCACTTGATTACTCAGACTGGGCACAAAATTCAGGGGCCAGACTCCAGTAACTCCACTTAAATGCCTTTCAGACCTGGGAATGAGCCCCTTCAGCTCAGCTAGTTGGAAAAGAATGAGCTTGGAGGATTGGAGGATGTTTCACTGCAAACTTGTTGGTAAACCAGGGTTTGCCACCAGACCTCCTCTGAACAGTGAGTTACAACTAGACAGACCTCCGAATCTGTTTGCTTCACGCTGCATTTTCTGCAATTTAAAAAACAGCTCAGAAGTTGTGTTGGCCCAGAACAGGGCTGCCAGATTACAACTTGGGACCAGATGAATGGACTACATTCGGCCTGTGCTTTATCCACTGCTCTGGCTCCCCATCCATTACTGGTCTCAGTTCAAGTGCTGGGTTTAACCCTTAAAGAAGAAAATGCTGTGAGTGTTACTCATTGTATTTATGCTACTTTTGACGTGATGGCCTCGTACAGACATTTGTATTCTAATTATTGTTATGATTGTTTACTACAAGCTGTTCAGAGAATTTTCATGTAATGGAGCAACATAGCAATGTCATGAATAAATAAGCAATTTCTTCATACTTCATCTTCCAAGCATGATATGTGAAGGGCTATGATACTCTTTAAGTGCTCCAAAATAGCACTTCTTCAGAGTCTGGAGAACTCTTGATTTTTAAAAAGAGGATGTTATATTTATGCAGAAGCAAAGATGATATTTCTCACAGAAATGCAGAAGTCAAAAGGGGAACTGGATGCACATTTTGAGTTAAAGTCATAAAGGGGTAAGACTTCTGCCATCTGTGTGTTTTCTTCTCTCACTGACTAACAGAAGCATGAGAAATTCTGCAATATTAATCATGACACCTCAGGAAGTTTGGATGGCTTTTACAAAATGCAGCTGAATTCTGGCCTTGCTAAAACAAGATAAGGGTGCAGTCCTTTGCATATACAGATGGGAAAAGGTCCTTTGCCTGACAGCAATTCCCAGGCAGCAGTGGAGGACTTTTTTCTGCCTAAACATGGGATTGTGCCTTTCATTATCCCATTTCTATATAAATCCAGAGAAAATGGAAATAGGTCCCACATGTTTAAGGACAGGTTCCCCAACAGACACATGGGTAAATACTCTCCTTTACAGAGGACAGTCCTCTATGTGAAGGACTAATCCAGTTTAATTTCTATTTAAAGATAAAGGACTGATGCTCATCAGCAGTTAATATCTGAACAACTAACTGAAGAAGCAGGAAGAGAAGTCACCGGTCCCCATGCTCTTGTGTGGCATATTGTATTTCTACTTAAACTGTAATAATTATTTATAAATTTGCAGCTAGAGCGAGCTATAAACCGGTACGTGCAAAATTTATTCAAAAATAGCTACGACTTTGCCTTCCTTTTTGGTGACACTTTTTTAGTGACCCCTTTACATTTGAGACCACCTTAAGCAGAACTCTTTTGCTGTTTCTTATCTTTAACTGAAAAATTAGATTGGCCCTGTGCAATTCATCATTTCTAGGAGTGAATGCAGTGTACCACCCATGTTTGGCACCCCACCAGTGGCTTGTTAAATCAGCTGCTGGTGATTTCATTCTATGATTATTATTTGATGCATGATTCCCCTATAGCCAAAGCTCTCAGGACAAAATAATAATAACTATGCCAAAGGTGATGAAAGATATTAGAAGAATGTAAAAGCAGCAAAAATAATTTCAGAGTAATATATTGCCTCCCTTGGGACTTCAAAACTGCTGTGGGAGTGGGAAAGAGGTGGAATTGCCAAGCATCCAACAGGGCAATGGACTAGATTTGGTTTGGTGGATTGTACAGGCCTGCAATAGGCAGTTTTATGGAGTAGGAGGTAAGGGAAATGGGTATTAAATGCTGACCCAGATTTTATTTGTTTTATAAGCTGGAGTTGTTCAGCCTGCAATGCTTCCAGCTATTCAGAACCCATCAAAGTAGGTCTTTCTGGCTGTGTTTTGTTTAGTGATCATTGTTCTTACTAATTCAGATCTTCTCCACCTTTGCAATAATAAATAAAGCAGAAAAAAGAACACTCTGGACCTTGTATAATTCATGTTAAAAAAAAAAAAAACAACTCCAGCAGGCATAATGCAAGTGATTTTCTGCTGGATCTTTCCAAGCCCAGAAAGGAAGGATCTTTCTTTCCCTCTTTCTAAGGAGGATTCAAATACCTTCTTTCAAGGCTGCATATTTCCCTCATTGGGGGGGGGGGGGGGGGGCAGCACATCTCCAACATCCAGACTGCAATGTTTTATTATTTAGGAATCCACAATACTTCTTGTTACAGCCAGTGAGATCAGTTCTAACAAGGGTTTTGTCATATGTGATGCATTTTAAATCTCCTTAAATGTGCCTAGATTTAAGGAAAAAAATGTATGTGTTAGCTATAAAACCTTTGACAATAAGCATGATTTTTAGAAAACTGAAAAACCACTGGCAGGTTATGAGACAATATTATACTATTTTGGTTGAGTTGTAGGTTAGGAAGCTGCAACAAAATTTTGCAGCACAGGGTGCTTCTGTTCAATGTGACAGCCAGACTCAACCCTTTCCAAGAAACTGCTTTGTTTCTTTTCAGTTTTACAGCCAGTTAGCCATACGCTTTTCTAGAATACTCTCATCTTTTCTCCTCTCATAATCTTCCTGCTTCCTTTTCCTCCAACAAATACTCAGTGTTGTAGGACCACTGAGTTTTCCCAGTCCTGTTTGGGATGTTTTTGGCATTGTTTCTCCCTTCCAGGGGCTCTATTTCCTAAAGGGTTTTGTGCTGGTGGTGCTGTACCTACAAACTGGGGAGCTCCTCCAGGCCTGCTACAAACTTCCTTTTGTGCATGGATGGTGCCATTTTAGCAACATCAGGACTGACAAAGCATTTCACTCATGGTATATACCACAGCATGGGTATTATCACTTGCAGTTTTCAGTTAATAGTATGGAAGATTGCTCAAGTTTTTTAGCATGACTAGGGATCACAATACTTGATGGAATGCGTCTCCCAAGCACCATCTATCCAGAGACTATGCTCAACAACTGAGGTGACATTCGTCACCTCCAAGGACAGGTGAATTGGTGGCGCCAAGGGGAAAGGCCTTTTTTGTGGTAGCCCCTAAAATATGGAATATTCCCCCCATCAGCCTGGCAACAATTTTGCTATCCTTTCAGGACTCTTCTATTCTAAGTCATTTAATGGTTCTAAATAGCACATGGTGATGGGGTGGATATTATTAGCTGTTTCTAACAGGCCTGGTTGCATGAATCTGTTTTAGCAGATTAAGTAGTTAAAATTGGGATTTTACCCTCTAGTGAAAATTTATGATGCTTTAATTGTTAGTTATATTTCATATAGTATATTATCAATTGTTGTATGCTGTCAAAACCTATTTTACAGTGTAATAATAATCCAATAATTCTGTGGTGGTGGTGGTGATGCTGATGATTCTGCATAATCCTATTAAATGCACATAGTA